GATTGCGCGTCTGCATTTCTCCTTAGAATGCCTATGGTTTCTTGGAGTCTTCTTGGAAGTCTTGGTGGAATGTCAGCAACAGCGTGTCCGGTGGGGGCGGCGACGGCTCTTTGATTCACTAGCCCCATCGGGTCAACCGGGAGGCCTGTTGATTTGCGATTCACCATTGCACCGAATCGAGAGCTGAGGTTCCATCCTGGGGTTTGTATCCACCCTCCGCCGAAGTGGCTACGGGGCCTTAAAAGGTTGTTAGTCTCGACGGGCCCTTCGTTCAAGATGACAACCTTGTGGTCTCCAGTCTTTAAGGTCTTCTTCCCTTCGTTCACATACCGGCGCATGTTACCCCTCATGAGTTAGACCGATACCTCTCCGACTTCGCCCACTGCACCACTGGACTTGAAGCTGGCTCGCAAGCCGAACGTGGTAAGGCAAGATGCCTAACTCACTAAGAAGGGTAAAGAGTAAGTGACTGACCCAACACGAGACTAATGTCAATCACGAGGCTAACCTTTGTCCAGCCGAGGTCTCTTCTCCCATCCAGGATTACAACTACAGCGAGGATGCCGCGATTCTCCGTAAGAAGACAGACGATGGACCGTTCCACGGGCTGCCAGCCAAAAGGCAAACGCGATGGAAAGTTATAGCGAAGGTGCTATCCCGATGGGGCATCACAATGGCGGTGATCGTCTCGATGTACGTCGTGATCTGGGTCTACTCAAGCAAGCCCGTCATGAGCCAGACGACGAAGCGACAGTACAATGCCCTCATCACCGGTCTCTCGATTGCCTTGGGTATTGCTGTGGCCAGTAGTTTGAACCATATGGTGGCAGAGTTGAGGTGGTGGATCTTGAGTCGGCGATATCGTTCCAAGAGCAAGGTAAGTCTGCGAGTTTGAAAAGTGAGGTATGGTGTAACAAGGCAGATTGCTGACGAGAGGTGATAGGTTGAGCGAATCCTTGCCGCGGATAACTTGAAGCATACAATCATGTTGGCGGTTCGGTCGAAGCGTTGGTCCATTCACATGGCGGCCACTGGTTGGCTCATACTGTCAATAGTATGCTCCCTGGTTGGCATTCGTGGTTGCTATCACTGACTCTCCTAGGGTTCTCAAATCGGTCTTGCAGCAATTGGCCTCTGCTACTCAACCGATACCGCAGACAAACAAGCCTTGCTTGTTCCTGGCAATGTTACTATCCCTGACATGACGACAATCGGAACCGAAAAGGTCGTCAAATCCAACAGGCAGGGACTCGGTGCTTTGCAGTACACCGCCAACAGGTACGTCACCAGAAGTCTACGTCAATCGCGCAGGCTAACCTCATCGCCTAGTTATGGCACAATATCTCTGGCATATGACTCGGCATCGTTGGAGAAAGTCCCATCGGCCAGAGCCATCTACGTCGAAAGTGATCCTCTCATGTTCTGCGACGAAAACCTCTGCAAATATGTCTTCCACGAAACCTCCACCTCGTCAATCAAAGACGACGATACGAACCCCATGACCGTGTGCACCAACCGAAGTATCAACGTCACGTCATCGTGCACATCCTGGCCGGTCATCAGCGGTGGCAGCGGCAACACCACCAACGTCACCGTTGCCCTCGACAACGGCAACACCTACGATCTTTATATCCCAGTTCCCGGCGGTAGCGATCAGTCGACATTCATGACAAACTCCCAATTTGACTGCGGAACAGGATGCAGCATGGTCTCCGTCTTTGAGGCATCAGCTACTTCGCCATGGTACTACAGCTGCAACGTCTCGGTTCATGAAGTGGCAAACGCCACGCTGCCGGAACATTATGTCGGAACCAACCTCACGGAGCTGGCGACGGCAGCCATCGCCCTCCAGGGATATGCTGCCTCGTCACTCGCGAACGACACCAACTTCCAGTACCAGACGTATCCCGCGGAGTCCATCTTTGGAACGCCAATGAACGGCACCAACCAAGTCATGCAGATGATCTTGAACCGCTTCACGATTGGCGTTGTAGCCATTGCCGCGCTGAACAATCCCTCGCTGACCCTGGAGGGTACCATGCCGATGAAAGGCACGAAGCTCAACGTTTCTCACTGGAACATGATCCACATGATTTTGCTCCTAACAGCTGTATTGCAGCTGGCATTGGGTCTTGCGGCGGCCTTGGTAGCGAACCGGGTTGTGGTTCCCGACGGCGACGCTGTTGAGATGGCGCAAGTCATGAGGTCCATGGCGATCCAAGACAGGCGGGCGAACGAGGAAGCTCTTGAGAAAGGGCTGACCACGGAGGGGTCAAAGGGCAGCAAGTGGATCTACAGAGATACTTTGGTGTCAAAAGACGCAGGCATCTATGACCTGCACATGGAGGAGCAAACGTTCCACGCAAGAAATGAGGCGGGGATGATTGAGATGAACGCTCAACACAGAAGTCGAGGATCAACGCCAGTGAAGTAAAGAGCAACAGGAACAACAGTACAAGCAGTGCATTTCCAGCGTAGTTATAGCCAATCATTCGAAAATCAGTTAATAGACTTGCAGCTTCTTGCGGCTTTTGACATCGCGGAGTAACTCTAATTGACAATGCCGCTTGTGAGCGGCAACCATCGGCACAAGCCGGCTCCGAGTGGGTCCGGTCAGCTGTCAGCTTCCGATCCCGGAGGTCAGTCGCGGAGTAGTCCGGTCCGCCCCGATGTTTCCGCTGGGAAACAGTCAGATCATGCCGGTCTTTGGTGGATTCCAAGGCTCTCTTTGAGGCTTTTTAGCAATCGATTTACTTCGCTCGACGGATCAGATTTCCCGTGATCTTGTGCGCTTGATTTTAACGCTAGAGGATTGGTGAGCCACTGTTGTGACACAATCTCATGTCGACCGGCGGCTTAAGTGCTCGTCAATTGACGCATCAAAGGGGCATGATTGATGTCAGAACACTGTGATTATCCCTGCCCGCCCATTTGGGAGCCAATGGACGACTGGAAGAAGAGCTATTTCTTCGCATTAGAAGTCTCCGTCAATGACGAACGTCTTCGGTCGGTAGACCGGAGGTCAGGCCGAAATGCATGATTAGCTTCGACCAAATGAGGGGTAGCACACGCGGGTTGAATTGTTGAGGAAGCTACCCCTCCAACGCAGCATATATGAACTGCAACTCCCTCGTCAATTTCTCCTCGCCCTTCGCATTCATACACATTGCAACAAACGCAACTGCAAAAACAAACACCAATCAAACTTGACCCGGTACGACGCTCGCGTCCGCGTCAGAGAGCCATGGCATCTATCGCAATGGAAACATCTACAGATCGAGGTAAAGTAAGAGAAGAACGCATCCGGGTGTTTGACTCATCTGCCGTGCCACATACTTCCACGCCGGTCTCCCTCGATATCTCGATTCGATCGTATGGAGCGCCGATGTGGAAGGGCACGACAGGGAGTTAATCTGAGAAATACCGGCGAACTTGATCTGGATAATACCAGCGAAAGGACTTGCTTCTTTGGCTTCCCTGCCGCCCTGCATTTGAGAGAATGGGAGTGAACTAACCCGTGCAGCATCACGCTTGATCTGTCAAAATGTCGACTGATAAGATCACCTTCCTCACCAACTGGTAGGATTGCCCGCGTGCATGCTGCGAATGTAAGTTGACACTGGGTCAGGCACGCCACCCCGTACCACGCCCCATTGTACCTCGCCCAGGCCAAGGGATACTTCAAGGACGAGGGCATCAAGGTCGTTTTACTTGAGCCCAACGACCCTAGCGTACGTTGTCATCGAAGCCTTCGTTCCAGGCTGTCTCTAACTATCATCCAGGATGTCACCGAGATCATCGGCACTGGCAAGGTCGACCTTGGCTTCAAGGCTATGATTCACACTCTCGCTGTAGGTTCCGCACAAAACCCCTGCTCTGGCTCGACCATTCCCTAATCCCTCGACAGGCCAAGGCCCGCAACTTCCCGGTCCTTTCCATTGGCAGTCTTCTCGACGAGCCCTTCACCGGCGTCGTCTACTTGAAGGACTCCGGCATTACCACCGACTTCCGCACCCTCAAGGGCAAGCGCATCGGCTACGTCGGCGAGTTCGGCAAGATCCAGATCGACGAGCTGACATCGCACTACGGCATGACCCCCGACGACTACACCGCCGTGCGCTGCGGCATGAACGTCTCCAAGGCCATTATCGAGGGCACCATTGACGCCGGCATTGGTCTGGAGAACGTCCAGATGGTCGAGCTTGAGGAGTGGCTCGCTGCCCAGGGCCGGCCCAAGACCGACGTCCAGATGCTCCGCATCGACGAGCTGGCTGAACTTGGATGCTGCTGCTTCTGCACCATCCTCTACATCGGCAACGAGTCCTTCATTGCCGAGAACCCTGAAAAGGTTCGCAAGTTCATGAAGGCTGTCAAGCGGGCCACCGACTACGTCCTCGAGAAGCCCGAGGAGGCTTGGAAGGAGTACGTCGACTTCAAGCCGGTCATGGGCTCGGACCTCAACCGCAAGATCTTCGAGCGCAGCTTCGCGTACTTCTCGCATGACCTGAAGAACGTCCAGCGTGACTGGACTAAGGTTACCGAGTACGGCAAGAGGCTTGCTGTTTTGGACGAGAGCTTCCAGCCCAACTACACCAACGAGTTTCTGGGATGGGGTCTTGACGCCGACTCGGAGGACCCTACGGGGGACCAGAAGAGAATGGTTGAGCTTCAGAGCGATGTTGCCTGTCGCGGCGGTTTCCGTCGCTTGAAGTTGCAGAGCTCTGCCATCAAGGCTTAGACACATTGCTCAGGTCGCATCGTATGGTTCACGGATATCTTTCGCTCATTCAGAGATAAGAGGTCACTATAGCTGGGCGGCTTTGGGGAGCCCTGTCCTTTAGACGCGTTGGAATAACCCACTCTCTTGCAAATATAAACACCCCTAGCCGAAACTGCCACTTCGACTACTACGCCGTGAGAATAGCCCAACATGGTAAATATCTTGGAACAGAAGAAAGCATCGACTTAAGATTTGGCCCACTCATTATGACGACCCTGCCCTAACTGACTGAGATGTCCTCGTCGTTGAGAAATTCTTTCATCTCCAGCCCCGCTGTGATATTGTCGTACTTCTCTATTCTAGCAGGTACAATGAACGGACTCAAAGGGCAGCAAGATGGTGGATTCTTGAAGGCTCTAATAGACCTTTCGAGCCCTGTTACGCTGTATCCCGTGTAGGGCCGAGACGGTGTTGGGTGGCTCAGTCTATGCTCAGCCATATTTTTCACCAACAGCCCCAGAAGGGTCGCCGAACACTCGAATTTGCATCCGGAAGAACCATTTCGAAATCGATCAGCTTGATTTTCCAGCATTTTTAAGATTCGTTCAATGATATCTTCGCGACGCTGGTCGATTGCGTCTGCATCGTTTGAGGTTAGTCTAAGGACCTGCTGAAACCCCGAAATTTGTGGAAACCTCACCCGTTATGGACGATCGAATGGGAAGTCGATCCAGAGATGGGAGCAGCCCCTTGGTTTCCCGGATAGCTGTCTTGGTGATATGCTGAAAGATGGTCTCGTTCCGGAAAACAAATGACACCAGAAGCCACAGGAGTAAATCTCGATCGCATGTCTTGGGCAGTGGCGATGCTCTAGACAGCATTTCAATCCATATTGTCGAAAGTGGTTCCATGCTCTCATGGCAGTCGTAGTAATCCACGATCGCGGCGACCTTGGCGAGCATTTCGAGATCAACACAACGAGAAATGCCACGGAACTTTCCATGCATCGCTTTCATCACCACGAGAAACGCCTGGGCATCCCATCCAGACGCATCCACATAATGCAGACCGTCTATCTTTCTAGTTGAAGCCTCCTTTCCGTTCCATTTCAACATTGATGCGAAGTAGCGGGAGGCAAGACCAAGGTGCCGAGACGATGAGAGATATTTTATGCTTTCAGCCTTGGACGTCACGTGTACATCGGGCAACCTTCCATTCGGTGAGTTAAGGCGTTCTCCTTTCCCTATAGTCGCTGCTGATGCTCTCTCGTCCCAAGGCGCAAACGGAGAAGTCGAAGGATGGAGAGTGAGTAAAACATCGCCATTGGGATCGAGCTTGTGGGAGACTCCTTCGATCATGTTGAAAGAAAGACCTATGATGCATGAAAATGATACGAATATGCGCACATCCAGCGAGGCTTGTGGCTGGCAGGTTCCATTTCAGCACAAGAAAATGGAACATGGAATTTCTTGACTCGCTGAACTTTGGATGCAACTGCGTGCGGGGTGGTCGGCCTCCAGCAGAGGTGCCAGCAAATCAGCAAGAAGCTGCCTCAGTGTCTCCATCTCATTTAGTTCTTAAGATTTGAATCAATTTAGGTTTCAAACTTGTGCGACAGAACGTTTCGGGGTGAGGACGCTATGCCTGGACCACTATGTGATCACGCCAGGCCCTCGGAGAGGCAAGTGGAATCAGGGACTGCACGCAGGCAGGACGAGGTATCAGGTGCCACAGCAAGCTTAGTCATTTCAATCAAGACTTTTGCCATGTGGGCGGATATTGAAGAGAAGATCACATTGAGGATTATGATGAGATGGCGCACCCGCTTTGAGAGCATCTTCCACGTCACCACGTAGATTCTGTTGATATGATTGGCATAGTGGTGTTAAATGAGTGAATCCAATGACTGCATTTGGAACTTGTCTGCTATGAAAATGCGCCTCAAAGTGATCTCAGACCCGGAAACAAGCTAAATTACCTCACGTATTCAGCTTACACCACGACGCAAGAAGCACTGTCTGCAGGCGGCCAGAATTGTTAAAGGCCCCTCACAAGCATCGAAGACCAGGGATTCACTTATTTAGCAGCCCAGGCTTCCGGTGACACAACCTTTGTGCGGATTGACGTGTCACTACGCCATTCAACAACTGACGGAGCTGAGGTTGTCGTTGAAGTTGGTGGGAACGGTGTTCTGCAGTCCACTAGTGGTCCAGGAGCCGCCAGTGCAGCTGCCGTCCCTGAAATAACGCAAAACGTATTAGATTTCAATTGACACACGAAATTGGATGTGGCGAAAGTGATCTGCCACTTTCAATTTGAAGAATCGACTATGATGACTTACTGGTAGAAGGTGCAGGTGGCACTGCCGGTGTCAACAGAGCTGACAGCATCGTTCATGCTTCCAGGGAAGTTGGCTAAGCTTTGTTAGACCTCGTATCCTGAAGGGACTATAGTTAGAAACTTACTGCAGCCGTTGACATCCATGGTCACACAGTTGGTGATGGTCTGGTCCTTGCAAATGCGAATGCTGGCAGCATTGGCGAGACCCAGAAGGGTGACGGCAATGACGGTGAAAGACTTCATGTTGTTGGGGAAAATTGAGAAGACTGTAGGTCAAAAAGCTTGAGAAGTATGGCTGTGAAGAGGTCGACAGATGTGATGAGGTGAGAGGCTGATGCTGTTGGGGATTAAGAAAGAAAGACGCGTACAGTTGACCACCCGACTGTATTGTCATCCTCACGAAGGATCACAACATATTTACGGGCTCATAGTCCCGACAGGATCTTTACCTTGTCTGCCTAAATTGAATGTCTCAAACAATGCGCCTGGCCGGCCAATTTGGGACAACTACTAAGTACCGTCCAAGCAGATCATACAAAAGATCCTCCTCCTCAAGGCCATGTTGCACCAACGATGACTATCCGTCCATGGCATACCCAGTGTTCACCGCTAGCAGTAGGCAGGTTTGTCGATGCAACTGGTGAGTGAGTAAAATGAACCATGTCACGTCCTAGACAGACGAGACATCAGTGGCCACCATGAAGCAATCAAGAATGGAACGCTGCCAAGGCTAGGAGCCATTGAGGTGTAGTAGGCTAAGGTGGGCGGGCGGCCGCCATGTGGATACTAAAGCCAGAATTGTTCGAAGTTGTAACTATCGTGAGCGTCCAATACAGATACGCAAGGAACTTTGGTAAATTCCCCGCCTTAGTAGACAACTCACGCGAAGTTACATTGGTATCAACGTCCATCTAGTTACTCTGAAGAGAGGCTGGTTCCACTTTGCTACGCATGCAATCCTGAAAAGGTGGTTTCATTGCCCTCCGTTGTAGTCCTGGGCACGAGCCGAGAGATACTTGTTCGGGAAAGGCTTTGCACTGGTACGATAACCGACAAATAGGCACATTGCCTTCCATATGCAAACTTGAGACCCATCAAACCCCCATAGGATTTCTCTCACAAGTATGCAAGTCAGATGATAGAAATCCAGCAACTGATTCCACTCTTTCGCCCGATCAGGCTGTCAAATGGCCGGCGATTTCCTGACATACTGTCTAAAGCTCCGTGATTCAACTTTAACCGGGGCGATTTCGATGATCTGCGGAACTTTGGTCACCTAGCTGAGAACCCTGGACAGCCCTGCGGCCGCCTCCGGTAGTTCACCAAACCCCTAACGCGCCTGGCTTACGCCCTGCTGAAAGATCGACAATTAACTAACTCAAATTGACCATCCATGGATATGGATTTAGGACTTTGCCTAGCAATTACACAGCCCGTTCAGCGTGCTGCTTAGCGTATGCCAGGTACTTTCTTGGCGGGTATCGTTGCCCCTAACTTCCGTGAACTCTCCGCGAGTTACACAGCATGCCTAGCGGCGGTTAGGCTCACTTGCAACCCCACAAAGAGCCTTCGTTCTCAGACCAAGTTGATTCCCAAACCATGTGTATTTACGTACAGGAAGCAAAGCTTTTGTGTTCTATCCCATGCAGGCGTTTGCGCCTCATGTCTTGGAGTTATATCTCTGTATCATCCTTTTCTGCACCGCCGTAGCAAGCTGCTCTAGGTTTCTGGAGCCGGTAATCTCAAGCGTGGCCAGATCTACGCCCATCCATTGCCTGATCCAGGCTCGCACCTCTATTCCTACTAGGGAATCTAGACCGAGGTCCGTTAGTGGAGCCTGGAAGTCCAGGTCTGTGTCTTGTCTAACCTGGAATTCGCGCAGGGTTTTCCCAATATGCGTTGCTAGGAATTCTGTGGTCTCTCCTGACTGGAGCGAAACGATGTTAGAGCTGAGCTCTCGGATGGCATGGCTGAGCTCGTCCTTCGCCATGCTGTCTGAGCCGGAAGGAATTTTGCTGTCATCCGAGTCCAGGTTGCGAAGGGCAAGCATTCGTCGATCTCTCTTCCACGGGACACGGCATGATTTCGATGTAAGCGGTATGGTGGAACGCATTCCCATGGCCAATAGAGATGGTTGTACATGGCACGAGGCAGCTGAAGCGCCGTTTTCCGTCGGAGGTTCCATCAGCAACCGCTCAATGCAGTCCAGGAGCTCGACCTCGGTGTTGAACCATTGACCTGTTGCCTTGGCCAAGTCAGCTGCCTCAGGTCGGTCAGCTACGTAGCCGACGTCGCTGATGAAGCCCACATTTAGAACACTTGCAGCTAGTCCCAGATTCCGCCTATAACCAGCGAAGGATTCCATGTAGGCATTCCCAGCATGATAGTTGGCCTGTCCCCACCATCCACCTGTTGCTGCTGTGGAGCTGAACAAGAAGAAGAAGTCAAACGGAACGTCAGGCTGCCGCTCCAGCAAGACCTCATCGATGTTCCTAGTTCCATTAATCTTCGGCTGCGACGCCGCAAGCCACTCGGACCAACTCATACTGAGGAAGCCAGCGTCCCGAAGAGCCATTGCAGCGTGCAGAACCCCTCCGATTGGCATTTTGGCGACTTTGATTGCTCGAACGACGTCGTCATATTTGGCGACGTTGCCGGAAACAAATTTGACATTGCAACCCAGACATGCCAGCTCTTTGGCTAAAGAGGCATGCTCCGGCAGACAACTTGCAGAGCGAGACAGGAAAATGATCTCCTTGGCCCCCTTTTCCACAAGCCAGGAGGAAATGACGGTACCCAAAGATCCCAGGCCATCAGTAAAGAGATATGACCGATCATGCCGTAGTTCGAGTGTCTTGTGGATGGGCTCGGTGGGAAGCAGCTGGGATTCAGCTTCTTCTGGCAATGTTACAACGATCTTGCCTATGTGCTGGCTCTGTTGCATTTGTCGGAAGGGCTGGGAGATTTCTGCGGCTGAGAAGGTAGAGGCGATGCATGGTTGAATGTGGCCCTGTGTCCATAAATCTATGACTCGCTCCAGCATATCCCTAACGAATCGGGGCTTGCGAGCCCATAGATGTGCCAGATCAACACCACAGAAGGTTCGGTTAGATTCAAACTGGTCCATGGCCAGCTTCGCATGTCCCAGGAAGTCCCGGCGGCCGAGCTCGACGAAAGTACCAAACTCAGCCACGCACTGCCAGGAAACGTGGAGCAGCTCTCCTGATAGTTGGTTGAGGACCAAGTCCACCCCCAATCCCTCTGTGGCTGCCATGATGCCCGGCAGGAATGATGAGTCGCGGGAGTTGAAAATCTTGCCTGGGGGAATTCCAAGTTTCTCGACGAGAAAGTCTCTCTTACCTTTGCTGCCGACAGTACAGTATATCTGTTGAGATGCTCGTCAGTTTTGGCTGAAAACATGAAGGGTTATATGGAACGTTCAACTCACGTCAGCTTCTAGCATCTGAGCGAGCTGGAGTGCCGCCAAGCCCACACCTCCCGTAGCCGAGTGGATCAAGATACTCTTTGCGCACGTATACCGTTAGTGACAGTCGAGATCAAGGGTTGTATGAAATTGAGGTGTTTTACATACCATTCCTTTGATTGCTTTGCCTTGGGTGAACAGCCCATGAAAAGCAGTGCAGTGTGCCACAGGAATTACGGCAGCGTCTTCGAAACCCATCTGGTCCGGTATCTTGCAGCATAGCTGTTGGGACGTTACTTTGATGTTTGTGAATGACCCGCTAGATATGGCCACGACCCGATCGCCCACCTTGACCCTATCCACATCGGGGCCGACTTCCAAGACAATGCCGGCACATTCTAGACCAAGTCCATCTTGAATAGCCGCTGTGTCGGTGATAAAGCTTTGAGCAATGAGGACGTCCTTGTAGTTCATGCCTACGGCCTTCACTTTGATCTTGACGTCGTCCTTGTTGAGCCCTGGAGTTATCATTGGCTTCCAGTACAGTGTGTCAGTGAGTCCCGGCTTGCGCTGGGAGAGCTTTCGCACGCTCATGCTTTCTGGAAGCAATTGAGACTCAGCTGTCAGGTTAATATGCTGATAACGGCTTATAAGAATCTTTTCGTCCATGTACGCCCATTCATACTCGGGGTTGCTGTCCGGGTCATTCTTGACACGCTTGCCGAATTCATGGTAGACCTTTGGGACAACATTGGCGATGGCTGCCGGGGAGAGACTTTCGAACTCGAGAGTGGCAAAATCAAGCCCAAGCTCTGTCCGTAGAACATGAGCTAAACCGAAAAGCGGAGCGTACTGAGATTGAATATTCTCGCCGACCTGGCATTGGCTAGTAATCCACAAAACACCGCAGTCACTGTCGTGGGCATTCTTGACAAATCGCTGAAAGTGTGCAAATCTTTCCTCTGTCAGACCGGCGAAAAAGGGAGAAAAGACATCGAGTACGGATATGACGTCTTGTTTTGGGGTTAGACTCGCTTCCGAATCCTCCAAGTTGTATTCATCGACTTCGTATGAAGCCCGCCGCAGAGTCTCAAAAACCTGCTTGATATCTTGGCCCCTGTGCTTTAGAATTGTGACTCGTGTCGACGAGGCACAGGGTGTGACGGCTGGCAAATGATGTTGTTGTTCGTGTAGCCGTCGAAACTGTTTGATATGTCACCGAATCCGGATCCCAACAGCTCCTTCTTCCATCTCTCAAAGCTGACATGGGGCGTAGAAACGCGACCGTCGGCTTCACCAAGCCACCAGCCTGGGATGACGCCAAAACAATGGTTGATCCAGGGCGTGATCGGAAAGATCTCTTGCAATAGGAACCGTCCTTCAGGGTGTATCAACTTCCTTATGTTGCTTAACGACTCGTGAAGGTTTGGTGTGGCATGTATGACGTTCCATGCAATAATGAGGTCGAATGACTCGGCCTGGAACCCCTGCTCCAACGGGTCTTTGCTGATGTCAAGGATGGCGAATTCAATTCCCCCGTATTCTTCGAACCTCTTCTTTGCATCTGCAAAGAAGCCGCTAGATATATCAGTGTACGTGTAGGACTGATACATCCTCTGCCCATGACTCGATGTCAAGCTCTGGAGCGTGCTGGCCATCGCACCTCCAGTTCCGGCCCCGATCTCCAGGACGCGGAGGTTTGGCTTCTTGTGCCCAATCAGTGATAATAGACTTGACGAGTCTGTGTCTAAAAGAAGGCAGTTGTAGACATTTTGAAGTACGCCATCCGCCAGAAGAAGCTCAAGCTCGCTAACATCGCCATTGAAGATTCCTTCGCAGGAAGAGCTGACACGATGAATAGCTGTTGCAGGAGCATGGACCTCGCTTTTTTCAAGGTCTTTAAAAAGCGATGAAAGCAGGATATCTCGATCTTTCGACGCCATACTGACGAGATAGTCAGCGTCTGGAACTCCAGGGCATATGAGAGAGCCAGAAGAAAGTCCAGTGACGAGGTCTTGAAGCCATTTCCGGTATTTGGTCAGGTGTTCACGTTTAGGGTGAGCAACGTGACGTATGCTGTCGAGTGTTCGGGTGAGGGAAAGTATGTTGAACCGGTCGAGCAGCCGATACAGCTCCACCTTTGAGACGTCTATCGCGGGTCGGATCAGAGAAGAGGGATCAACGAACTCAATATCTTCTTTCCACTCAAGCTCCGCAGCTCCGTGTGGATTAGAAACCTCATTTGCGCCATTAGAGCCACCGATTCTCGATAGCTGCCACCCTTTGGAGCTCAGGACTACGCTACCGCCGTCGAGAGTAGCGTCAACGCTACCCAGAAACGCTCCAGGCCGCTGCTCCGTGACCTTTGCTGAAAATGATAGCTCCTGAGCTCCTGCCGGTGGTACTGCAAAGGCGAACTCATCGACGTAAGCAACTAGTGCTAGCGAGTTGCAATTTCGCGTGAGACCATGGGCGGCGGCCACATATAAGCTTTGAACAGGACGGTCCAACGCCCCTTGGTGTACAGAATAGTAATTTTCCTCTCCCGGTAGTAGGTCAAGCTTCAAAGTCCCCTTGATCTGCAGTGTTATGGGATCGGCTGCGACGTCCATGCCGCTGAAGCGTGGGCCATACTCCAGGCCGAGGGACCTAAACTTGCGATACCACGAGGCGGAGGAGCACACCCTCGAGAATACGCTGCTAAAGTCTTTGGCATCACACTGTCCCAGGCTACTATTCGACGATTCGCTGTCACCTCGGACCTTTCCATACGCGTGCTTCACCCAGTCTTCGTCCTGGTAGCTGGAAATGGTGAACTCGTACCAATCCGAGTCGATTGAGTCGGTGAGACTTATTTGGTTGAGTTGAGTAACGATTTCCGTCTGGCTCTCGTACGTCATGGGCAGAGCCGCACTGAAGTGAACTTGTTTGCACGTGAAATTGGGGTTTCCTGTGAGCTGTCTAGCAGCTTCACCAGCCATACACAAGTATGAGACGCCAGGAAGAATAATGGTCCCTTCAACCTCGTGCTCTGCAATCCAGGGCACATCCTCTAGACGTGGCAGATTTCGCCAAGCTGGACTTCTGTTTGTGCTTTGCAAAACCCTACTGCCAAGGAGTTCATGATGCCGAAACTTGCGTAGACGATACTCTTCGGAGAGCCTAGACTCATGCCACAGTGGCCCTTCATAGTGCCAAAGGTACGACGGGAGGTCTGTCAGAATGTTTCCTTCGTCGAACACGCGATCCAAGGCCACCGGATGGTTACGTAGCCACAGCTCGCCCACAGCACGGAGGAGTTCTTGATGAGCGTCCTGGCCGCGAATGAGGGTGGCGATATACTCGGCGTTGATTTTCTCAGCCCCTAAGATTTGTCGAATAGGACCTGCAAGAGCAGAATGTGGACCGATCTCTAGGAAAGCCTTCTCGGAATTAAGGGTGTGCAATGCTTTGCTCACAGCTCCACTGAAGCGAACCGGTGATACCAAGTTCTGGACCCAGTAATCGGGGCCAAGTTCAGCCCCCTTGCATATGAGCTGGTTTGTGACACTAGAGAAAAAGGGTGTCTTTGGGTCACGAGGCTGCACATGTGGTCGAAGCAGGTCGACATATTGCGAAGCAACAGCTTGCATGTGATGGGAGTGATATGCCCTATCCACTTGCAGAGCTCTGGCAAGTACGTCCGGATGTGCCTTCTTTAGCTCCGTGACTACCAGATCGAGAGAAGTCTTGTCTCCGGTTAGTGTGACGCTGTTTGGGCTGTTTTCGCATCCGACCAACACGCCAGGCCGAAGGTATAGCGTGACCTGCGCTTTCCCCATCCCGATGGCAGCCATACCACCAACTGAGTCCTCTACGGCCCCCAATACCTTGCCACGATAGTAGGCAATGATGATGGCTTCGCGTTGAGTAATTGCCCCACAGGCATACGCAGCTGCGATTTCTCCTGACGAGTGGCCCAGCACCGCTGCTGGCTTGATGTTGTATGTCTTTAAGAGGTCTACAAGACACAACTGAAGAGCTGCACAGCAAACCTGCGAGACTTGCCCATTGTTGATTCTGGAAGTTCTTTTCGGTGCCAACATCTCGTCTGCGTTTTGAGGTCATGTCAGCTTGGCTGATGACTAGGACCAGTTTTCGACTGTGAGGTTGAGGTCTTGACATACCTATTAAATTCCATGTCGGACCGTCTGGTAACTGTTGCAACAGACTGTCCATCGCAACCAATGAAAGTTTGAATGGGGGAATGTTCTCCACGAGGGACTTCCCCATCTGTGCCCACTGCGCGCCCTGTCCGGTGAACACGAAAACCAATTGAGCAGGGTCGTAATTACCATGTCGAGTCGGCTTGAGTATTGGGAAGTCATCAATACCATTCGACACGCAGCAAGCACGGTAGCTTAGCAACTCCCGTTTCTTTGCCAAGTTATACGCTACGTCGCTCAATCGGTCTGGGTGGGCTAGGTTGTAAGCCTGATGGCGCTTCACCATCTTCTCGAGTGCCACGGGATGCTTGGCGGAAAAAAGAAGAAGCCGAGGAGGCTCTGAGCCAATTGGCACCACTGCAGGGAGGGACTTCGTCGCCTTCGTCGTTATTCTTCCATCTTTAACCCCGACGTGGTCGACTGAGGCCAGGAGGGCGTAAGCGTTGGAGCCACCGACACCATACGAACCGACACCAACGACTCTGTCTTTCTCTTGGGGCCATGGAATGGCTTGTGCAGGAACCTTTAGTTGGTAGCGATCGAATGGAATCTTGGGGTTGGGAGATTTGAAGCTTGCATTTGGCGGTATCATGTCGTTCTGAAGAGCAAGCGTCATCTTCAAAACACTTGCAAGGCCAGCGGCACCTTCAACGTGTCCAATATTGGTCTTCACCGAGCCAATGTAGATGCCGCCATGATCTCCGAAGACGCGTCCCACGGCCTCGCATTCAAGAGGATCACCAACTGGCGTCCCTGTCCCATGACACTCCATCATCGCCGTCCTGGAGTAGTCCTTGATGCCGGCGACCTCATGTGCTCTCCGGATCAATTCTTCCTGGGCATCTGGATTCGGTGCTGTCATCGTGGAGGACTTGCCACTAGAGTTGCTCGCTGTGGAAAGAACCACTGAGCAGATTGGGTCCCCGTCTCGAACCGCGTCGCTGAGTCTCTTGACGTAAACAGCGACAACAGCCTCTCCACGTACAGAGCCATCTGCCTCAGCATCGAACGTCTTGCATGTACCTGAAGGAGATAGAACGTTATGATCATTCATCGTGGCTGTGAGAGTGGGCGAGTATATGATGCTAGTGCCGGCTACAACCGCTGCTTCGCAATCGCCATGTATCAGAGCATAGCAGGCTTGGTGTAAGCCCAGCAGTGAGGAGCTGCAAGCTGTTCGAACAGTAACGCTCGGACCCATGAAGCCGAACTCGTAGTGAATCCGATCTGCCGGCATAGAGTCGAAGCCATTGAGTAGGTTGTAGGGATGAACGGTTTGTGGGTCGGCGGCGTCCAGCTCAGCCCGGTCACCGCCAAAGCTGCCAACCCAAACACCAATCTTTCTTCCTCGGAGCTCAGAGGGCTTTTGACCTGCTCTCTGAAGTGTTTCGTAGACTACTTCCAGACTTAAACGTTGCTGTGGATCCAATATCTCGAGCTCCTTCTTCGTCATTGACCAGAAGGAAGCATCGGCGTTCTTGATATCGATGCTGCTGTCCAGAAAGTAGCCATGATCACTAGGAACATGTCTCTTTCTACCTGGCGCATGCCATGTCCCAGCATTATAGCGGTCTTTGGGCACCGGACATCGCCCGTCGCGCTTGTTCACGAGCATATCCCAAAAGGCATCTGGATCGTTCACACCTCCAGGAAGCCTCATTCCCATACCGCAAATTGCCACCGGCTCGAAAGCAGCCGTGTTGCTATCTCCAGAGGTAACTCCATGAGTGCTGCAACCGCTGTCTGTTGTGTCGTAGCCATCCACACTATTTACAGCAACCCCACTGTCGCGGCTGCCGCTGCGACCTTGGATCGACTCTTCGCCGTAATACGTTGACAGATTTGACAACATTTTGTCTTGATTAAGCTGCTCATGGTGAATGTTATGATTTGCAAAACAAGGTCTATGACTTTCTTCGGCAGTGCTTGGCTGTGATGGACGATCTCTTAGACAATCGCAGTAATAACCACATCAAGTTCAAGATGTGAAGTGGGGCGGACTGATTTACTGCGGTGACATTGCCGACGACCCTGACTCTCATTTCGGAAAAGGAAGGCCAGAAGTGAGTCGACATAGCCGACGGGATATGCAATCCGAGAGCGAAGCAGTCGCTCCCGTCGGCTTCAGATACTTTGGGCCCAGTGTCTCAGGATTCTTCCTTTACGGGACAGTACTTTCAAATCCCGACCCTCCCGTCGCCGTGCCGGGTCCTCGGAGTTTTTAAGGGGGCTTGAAACTCGGAGATTTCCACGAAGGCCGACTTTTGGAAATAATGTCGGCAAATGGTCGTGGAGCAAGTTGATTGATTTTCTTGTGTTTCTAGATTATTCACCTATTATTTTCCGCATCCCTGTTTGATTAACAGAATTAGGCTTTGTGTTCCGTGCTTGACCACACATGCGGTTATTTGCATATTTCAGCTCTACACCAGTCAAATACTGTTTGTTCAGCCATCTAAGAGTAAACGAGTCGCTTTGCCTTCTGTTGTATGGTTTCCAGTGCAACTAAATTCTGAATGAATTATCATGACTAGAATCACTTTAAACAACCAGACGCAAAATGGCTACCCGCGAAATGGCGGGCATGGCAAGGAATTGTCTCATTCACCGGTCACCGGTCTATGGATCACTGGCATCGGCTCGCAGTATCCTCCATATTTGATCCCACCGGAGACATTCGTCAGTTGGGCAAAGAAATTCCATAACATCGAAAAACCGGTGTAAGTGCACTCCTTTTTCTTTCTTTTTTGAAAACAAAAAAAAAATATTCCGAGGGCTAACAACTGGGGTGTCGGAATAGGCTCGCTAGACTACTGAAGCTCACAATGAGCAGCGGTATTGAAACACGAGCATCAACAATGGACTTCGAAACCGGCTTTGGCTGTCAACCTGAGGTCCCACTCATTGAGGAACTAGACGCGAGGTTCCGCAAGGTTCCGCAAGGTTGGAGTTGATCTAACAGTGCAGGCTTGCCGAAAGGCTTTGCGGGACTGGGGTGGTGACCCAGACGACATCACGCATGTTATAGGAGTCACTGTAGGGTCTCTGAGCCTGCCCGGTTACGACTATCTGGTGGCACGCAGACTTGGTTTGGGCTATCATGTCGAGAACATGTTTCTGAACGGTGTCGGTTGTGCTGGTAGCATTGCCCTGATGCGCGTAGCTGCCAATATTGCCATGGCTGCGACGTCTCGGGAGAGGCCTGCCCGTATCCTCTGCTTTGCTTCGGAGGTCTGCACTATGTACTTGAGACACCAGTACGCAGAGGCTGAGGTAGCTACTGACGTTGAAAACATGGATATCGCGGGTGCCATCTTCGGCGATGCGGCATCCGCTTTTGTGTTGTGTAACGATGATGGGTTGGATGACCTCACTCAGGCCAAGTTTCAGCTACTTGAGTGGGAGCGCATGACCGTACCAAAAACGATACACCATATGGGCGCCATGGTGAAGACGACTGGCTTCACCAGCATTATCTCCAAGCAAGTCCCGGATATCGCCAAGCAGTCGGTCCGTCCTCTATGGGATAAGCTTCTCCCATCATACCGCGAGAAGGTCGGTCATCCTGAACTCGAAATTTCCGACTTCGACTGGGCTCTTCATCCTGGAGGTGAATCGGTCATCAACAATGTCAAGGACAGCATGGCTTTGGATGACCATCAAATCAGGGCAACTCGACACATTTACAGAACCAGGGGGAATACCGGGAGCCCCACGGCAATCTGCGTGCTCGATCAGCTTAGGAATATGGGTATAGGGAGCGAGCACGTGGTGGCGGTCAGTTTCGGGCCTGGTCTAGCCAGCGAGATGGCCTTTTTGAGACGCTGTGAAATCGATCAGTGAGGGCGCTGGTGTCATGGGACACGTTGAATTTCATTGTTTCAGGCCATTGTCAGACAATAGACTCACCTATCTCGCCCTAATTCTCGTGTTTAGTAGCACCTCCAGACCAAATTCATCATCGCTGTCATTTCTCACTGAGACTTTTCCCCTTTCTACTGCATACTATGTTTCCATTTCGTTTTCGAGTTCAGGATCAGAATGTATTAGGGAGTCAGATGCACTTTCTACTAATGAGTGACCATGTGTACACAGTATGCTTCGCTGTTGATTGTGCGCCCTGAAAGACCCAATACTTTATTTGTGGCCATTTGCACCGTCTTTGACATATTCTGTGGCTCTATTTTGAACACAACACTCCGGCTACCTCACCTGCCAGAGATGTCAGGTACCCAGCACAGTTGCGCGTCTCAAGTCCCTTCTGAACCGTCCAGCATAGCTTCCCGGACCAGCTTTGTGTAATACTGTCCTGTCAAGGAGTACGTGTCAGGGCATTGAGGCGCGCATTGTTGCTGGTAGGTATTGTCGACTCACCTATTGTCCCATATGACCAAGTCACCTGGATGATGCCATTCCACACGTAATTGGTATTTGGCTTGGGTGGCGTGTTTGAGTAGCTTTTGTTGGAGGTCTGCCGTCTCTTCGTCCTCCTCGGGTGCGCATTCAATATGGTGCATGTATAGCCCAACGTACAGGTTCATCCTATTGGATGGCTGGTGCAACTCTACAAGTTGATGCCTGGCCATAGGATAGGCTGAAGGGTCTAAGTCTTTGAACAAGTCCGGGTTACTGATCTTCTGTGCATGCTGCCACGAGTGAACACCGCAATAGTTCTTGGATAACAGTCTTTTCTTGAGGCCGGATTCGACATCGTCCAACTGGTCGAAGGCAGTCCTAGTGTCAGCAAAGATAGTGTCGCCTCCGTATCCTGGCGGCGGGATTTCGTGCGCTCTGAGAATACTCCACGAAGCTCGCTGTTGACTGTATGCAAGGTCCGGATGAAAGAAGGACGCGAGTCTACCAATTTGGGCCTTGGGACCTTCGGCTGGGACAGGGTCTCCTGTGTCCGGGTCGATGTTGCTCAAATCGGCGAGTTCATCAGTCTTGAGCCGTGTTTTCGTATCGCCAAGCACCTTTTTCATGCTAAAGAGGGGTCCAAAACGGCGAGCGAGCTCGTCATGGCTGATATCATCAAGACCAGTGCTACGAAAAACGATCACGCCGTACTGCGATAGATTAGTCGCAAAGTCCGCAGTATACGAAACTACACGTTGCGTTGTCCCGACTTTGCAGACCGTTGCAGCTAGATTGATGGCCTCACCTTCGCTGATAATGCGACAATATTCTCGAAGACGTCGTCTGACATGGGCGTTGACAGGTTGACCCCCGAAATCTCCGCACCAAAGTAAGGATGCAGTTCTGTTATTTTGATTTGGGACTTTGATTTCTCCATACCATCGGCGAGACTTCCCATATTCGACTACTTTGGAACTCTCTTGGAAGGTACGTGAGCAGGTCGGGCTTGCTTCAATGGAGACGCGCTGGAGGAAGAACGTTTCTGTTGCAACAAACATGGTATGGATGTAAGAGCCTGCTGCTACACAGACCGTAGTACCCAATGCTCAATTAGAAATGATGAATGTTGAGGCGTTCATTCTCTGTCTAGACTTGGTGATAGAATGTATTGGTAACTGAAAGTATGACTAGCCGGGTTCAAGCGATTTGGTCTTGGCCGAGTAACTCACGGGCAGCAGCAGAGATGGGTGGAGACTCGGGTCGATGATGTTCTCTCGAGATCCTAGTTGTACAGATGCCATGAAAGCCTCTCCAAGCTACCCAAAGAAAAAGCCGCCCCACACCTGAAACAAAACTTGATGAGAGTATTCTCCTTGCTGTCGTCTGATTATCAGCCATGACCCGAGATGGGGCAATTCGGAGGTTTCTCTAGCTTGACTAGTTATAACTTAGAATCATTAGTTTCGTAGTGAGCAGAATAAAACGGAGGGGAGCCAAATGTTTCTCCCGACTTAACGAGGTCCTTGCCTAGTTAGGAAGTGTGAGCTCCCTACCTAATCTGTAGTTGATTCAAAGTGTGCTTCGACCCGCTTACACCTGAGTCGCTACAAGTAGTGCACCGCCGACAGATGATTCATCATTGGTGGGTACCCTTCCCCGGGAGGAAATCATTCCCCGGATCAGGGGAATCATGGTTTGGAAGCTTGGTCTATAGGGATACAATTAACGATCATGACTCTAGTCATGAACAGAACCCGCGGAAGCGTCCCGATTCCTCAGAGTGATTACCTCCATCCTTGAAACGAACCGGAGTGACCCGATCGCTTGGGAGCCATAGTATAAAGTTGCATAGGCTCATCTCAGCATCGTATTATTGAAAGCCTGCCACGGAAATCAATGGTCCAACGGCGTTTTTTGCTGCTTTGAATCACTCGGCTAAAAGCAAAGAAAATTACTTCCCATTCAATTTCATAATTTAGTTGAAGCAAAGATGTATATTGGGAAAGTTGCCTTATTGGGACACCTCGTCTTCGAGTCAGCGGCATGCGCATCGTTCTTCTGCCAGCCACACAAGCAATCGCAAGATCCTGAGGCTAGCGAAGAGGCGGTCTTAGTTTGCCATAACTACGCTGGCATGCTTCTAGCTACCAACGTCTTGTGCCTTTTGTCTCTCATCCAAGGTGATAGCAAGACATTTGACGATACGAGCGTCATGATTACACGATCTATGGCCATCTATCACCTATTTCCCATAAGAAGAGCCTGGAACAGCATCAAGAAACGCAGAGGCAACTACAGACCGGAAGAGAGCATGGCAGGTGGTCCTCCAGGGCATCTAGTCATCCACGGCGCTTTGTTCGCATTAATGCTTTTGGTTGGGTGGCGCAAGAAAAAATGACTAGGGTTGTCGCATGAGACTTTTGCGTAGGACAATTGCCGGGTGCAAATGATTACGTTCCCTGTCCAACAGCTTTTGGGGGGGGCTAGAACTTGGTCTGCGACGGCGAGGGCGGCGCTGATAGGCATCCTACTTACGAAATTACCGTACTGGCGAACCATGGCGGTGGAAGTTTAGATTCAATGTACAATGGTGTGATTCTTCCAGCTGCCGGCAGTGATTGCATGGCGCAACCACGAGTGGGCGCCCGGATAAGCACATGCTCGGAAAAGAACAAAGCTTTTCGCTATGATTGAGGCTACGAAGTTATGAACCTGAAGATGCGGTGATTTCCGTCGGTGCTACTGTCCGACGGCGCCAGACGGGCGTAACGCGAGGTTGATTCGTCCAAGCTTTGCGTTTTATGGATGTCAGTGACCGAAACTGGGTTGGGAACTGTCAGTAGGGATGCAAGTCTGGCTAATTGACACGAACTGCAAGTGGAAGGTTAAAACAGCCAAGCATATGCATGGTAGCTACTTTCTCATGAAACCGATGTCCATCGGAATGGAGACCTGCTTGGCCATCAAAACGCCCTGCCAGATTCACAATGAGTGTGAAATTCTTGTAAGAGATCTCAAGTCCCCCATAGTCACATAACGTCCCAACTATCTCCAAGCAGAAATGTGAATTCTACTTCCAAAGCCTGCAGTATAGTCCCATTTCTCTACTCGCCTGGATCTACCGAAAGTCACCAAACGCAGGACCACAATGAACGCAGTACAACACCCCACCTTCACAAAATGCCATGACCAGAACAATCATAGCTGCAGACCATCAAATACGAAGGATGCAATCAACTTTTCATTTGTTCGGTTTCTAGAAGACGTTGAACGATTTTGTCACATTCTAGATGCACCCTTCTCAGCATCAACTACGACAGCCGTCCTGAGGGCATATCACACTCATTTTCACAACGCTCTTGTGGGATGGCGAGTCACTTCGAAAGATTCTGCGCTCAACCATCGCTTCTTCCAAGCCGCATCAACCGATGTCGTTGCTACCGCCATTGAAGCAGGCTTCATCCAGCACAGTCCCCTGACAGATTTGGTGCAGGCTTGGAGTTCGCTTTTCGACGGTGAGGTGCAACAATGGTGTGACTTCGACACTTCAAAGGGACTCATGAAGTCGTGGTTGTTTCTAGGCCAGACGCGTCGTATGGAAGACGTTATTGATCTTGACTTCGTTCCACACCGGATCCGCCGTCACCTTGGCACTTTCAAAGACCACGAGCTGGACAGAGTGAGAACTATTGCTGTCGATTGGCATTCTCACACGATCAACATTTACTGGCGTGTTCCAGGACCCCTTAGCAAAGGGCAAGCTGATGGACTACTCCGAGTAGCAGACTGCCAGCCATTAGAAGAGGACGACGTTGAGGTGATTAGTAAACTGTCAAGAGCAAATGACGGCAGTTTTGCCTTTGCCCTCACACTGGCTTTTGAGACGGGTGAAATTGAAAGAGCGGCATTCTATGCCACGAAGTTGCCAAGAGAAGATCTTCCTGCACTGGATGATAGACTGGCAAAGTTCATTCAACATGCGCCAGACTATGATCCGCACGAGTGGATTACTATTGGTTGGGGATTTGTGAAAGACGGGAAAAAATATATGAAAGCTGAAAAGAGCTACTGCGGGGATTTCATGGGTGTGGTAAGGGACATGATGATTAAAGATCCAAATATCTGAACACGAACACTTCGTAGAATATAGCAATTGATCTCATGAACAAAGAGTCTACAAATGTGCTTTTATCTGGCCCGAGCTGTGGAAATTGGGGAGGCAATGCCTTTGACCGAAGCTTAATGTTTCATCTTGGACATATGTTGAACTCTGTACCAAGAAGGTTTTGTGAGTGTTCCTTAAGACAGGCGACATCGGAACGGATTTCCCTGTCACAAACACAAAATTTCTTCGTAAAAATCTCACCAACAGTATCAAGAAGCACCAAACTGTCCTACGCAAAATCTTAGCGTAAATCCATCGCAATGGCTTCTTCGATCTCCAAAACCCAGGACCTGAAGGAGTTGCGACAGATCCTCCACCAAAGCATCGACGAATTGCTGCTCGAGCTCGAAAACGACGCGCGAAAGCCGCCTTCTTTGGATGAATTGAATACAGATATTCTTCTTGCACCTCCAGTTGCTGAGATTGCTAGGCAATCTCTTGTCAGAGCTTGTGAGAAATTGACAGCATTGGTCCAGGGACCTATGGGTGTAAGTCCTGTTTCCCCTGATCGATCCCCTATCACACCTCTGGATCATGTGATGGAAGTTCTATCTCAATTCTCCTTGACTCTAAGAAGATTCCAGTGGATGATGCAGTCAGCTGGAGGACACGTATTCCCTGCCGTTCTCAACACTGCACTCGAACTCCGATTGCATCAACTGGTCTCCGAAGATGTCCAAAGTCCAAGTACCTTGAGTGATCTGGCAAAGAAAAGCAGTGGTTCCCAAGAACTGATCAGTATGTGAATCACTCGGTTTCGAAGATTTGAGTTGACACATGTCTCAGGCCGCCTGCTCCGATATTTAACTCAACGATATGTTTTCCGAGAGGTCTCGCCGAGTCATTATCTTCAAAATGCAAATTCGACTATCTTGAAACTACCGGGCGTAGACGCTCTGATGGGACTATGGTATCATCTGCCTTTCAGCTCAGTCGGTGTAACAGAGATCTCATAGAATTCAGTTCCGATGACATATTCCGCGCGGGGTCCGCCTTGTCTTCCACGATGAAGGAGAACGATTTCGAGGTAGACAACGGAAAGAGCGCCTTCTCAAGGGCATTCCAAAGTGTGTTGAATGAACTGTTTCTTTGATAATCCCCAAGAGACTAATTATGCTCCAGCTGATCTAGAATCATTCGATTACTACTACAAGCAAGATCCAGATCGAGGCCGCCGATTTTCCCTTGGAATGACTCCTTTCACGGGATTTTATGCGTCAAGCCTCGCATTATATCCATTTCAAGACCTTCAACCCGGAGCTCTTATAGTGGATGTAGGCGGAGGAAGTGGACACGTCTCTAGTGAAATCGCCAAAGCAAACCCCAAGCTCAAATTCATTGTACAGGATCTCGAGGGACCTGTCTTGCTCGGCAGGTCAACTTACAAAGACTCTGGATTCCCAGTCGAGTGGCAGATACACAACGCATTCCATGCACAGCCCGTGAAGGGAGCTGATGTGCACTTCATGCGGCGCGTATTACATGATCATTCGGATGCTATCGGTGCCAATATTCTGAAGATGATATGCGAGGCGATGGATCAAAAGTCTCGCATCCTAATTGAGGACATGATTGCCCCAGATCTTCATGGCGAGGATAGCGAATGGTTCATCAATCACGCAGACATTGTTATGATGATGATGCACAATGCAAAAGAGCGAACTCTCGGGCAGTGGGAATCCTTGATCAAAGACGCCGATGAGAGATTGAGCATCGCGAAAGTTTGGAAAGCACAGGGTGACAGAAAAAGAGACTGTGCAATAATCGAGGTGAAACTCGGTCCGTAGATTGGATATGTACAAATTCGACTTATCTGCGGCACGGCTGGTTATGCACTCTGAAGGCTGGCTGCCCAACTGGAAACTAGTATCAGTGTTTCCTTAAGGCTGATTGAAAGCCCCTTCCAAAATATCACCAGCGCATAGTTAACAAAAAGAGCATCATAAATAATCAATCTTCACGTTAGTCCCCGCATCAGAGACTATGCGGCCGATTGGATGTTGAATTCGGATCACTAAAAACATTTTGACTGTCCCCATGGGAACCAGTCGCATAGAATGCACGTGAAGATCACCGGGCAATGCATTTTGGGAAGTCGATCGATTGAGGTTACGAATGATTCGCGCGAAAGCCGGTCCAATCAAATCGAAGATATTGTGGATGATGTGAGATGGAAGTGGCCGAAGATTCACGTTTCCATTTCATCGGGCTTTACGAAACTATAATCGAACGTCCGATTCTATCGGCACTTCTCAAACTATAACCAACTGCCTAATCTGGAGATCATCTCTCCGGGGTAACCATCTGTTTCTCCCCGTCTGGCAGTGCCCCCTGGCGGGATCTCTGTTCCGACGAGTTTCACAAGGATTCCTGGTCACTCAACTTTCATAGTGCAAATGACGAAGATGTAGACGTAAGACAAGACAAACATCAAAGAGACTCTAGGATAATCAGACCTTGCCGTAGAGGTCACGATGCCTAACTCTTCCTTTGCTATTGCGATGATCCGCTCTGAATTGTCGAATGCAACTATTGCTTTCTTGATCCTTTGCATTGCATACAAAACTATCGCCGTCTTTTACAGCGCCTTTTTCGGCCCCTTAAGCAAATTTCCTGGACCGAAGTATCGTGCCTTTTCCAACATATTCGAAATCTGGCCAATTGTCAATGGCACAGACAACATCGACCGGCCAGCGCTCCATAGAAAGTATGGACCAATCGTCAGAGTAGCACCAAGCGTACTTTCCTTTGCGGGCGGGGATGGAGTATGGATGGACATCCATGGCTTCAACGTCGCAAGAGAAGGGGGCATCATCAAGGAGCCAGTGTTCTACTCAAAGATTTTCGCCTTCACGGATGTGAGCAATCTCATCACAGCCAGGGACCATTCAATACATGCCCGGCAACGAAAGGTTCTTGCCCGATCTTTCGGTAACACAGCGCTCATAGACCAGCAACCTATCTTCCATCGATGGGCTGAGAAGTTTATTGACAAGTTGGCGGGAAAGGCTGGCGCCGGCAATACAATCGACATGGTAAAGTACTTCAACTGCACGACATTTGACATCATGGGCGACTTGACTTTTAACGAAGACCTCAATATGCTTGAAGAGGGGGAGTGTTCTCCATGGGTCGAGTCTATCTTTGGCTCTGTGAAAGCTGCGACTTTCCTCTTGGGGGTTAAGACCCACAGTCGAGCTGCGAGGCTGCTGGCAGACGCTTTCCTCAAGTACAATCCGGCTGTCCAGAGGAAGCAGATCGAGAACTGGATGTATTGCGCTGAGCGCGTCGAAAGACGACTAAAGCGAGAGCCTAAACATCCGGACCTATGGTCTAGAATCCTTGGAATGGAGAAGGAATCAGAAAGCTTGACAATGGAAGAACAGTACGCCAATGGGTTCCTTTTCATGACGGCGGGAACAGAGACCATTGCTTCAGCACTTTCCGCAATCACCTTTTACCTTCTTCAGAATCCACAACATCTGGAGACGGTTACAAGGGAGGTTCGTCAAAGATTTTTAACATCCGAAGATATGTCACTTGAGGCATTGGCAAGTCTGCCGTACTTGCAAGCAGTGATCCAAGAAGGGTTAGGTTTGCATTAATGCTACTGACTGCTTGCATGAAAGTTGAAAGACGGCCTCGTTAACCTGCTGATAGCTTCGTCTACATCCGCCGCTACCAATCATGTTACCTCGAGTGGTCCCAAAAGGAGGTGCACGGGTGGCGGGAGAATGGATACCTAGGGACACAATTGTTGGCATCCACTTTCTATCTATGCACACTCAGGAACTATACTTCAAGAAACCCCTCGAGTTCCACCCGCAACGATGGCTTCGTGACCCCGAATTCGAGAACGACCAACTGGACATGGCCAAGCCGTTTCTAATGGGACCATTTAATTGCATTGGAAAGGTTTGAGCCCCCAATGCCTTCCTGAATACCTTGGGCTGACGTCAATCTCTAAGGATCTTGCTATGCATGAACTTCGATTGGTAAGTAACATACTCGTTACTTCAACGTACTGTTATTCGCAGGCTGGCTGGTCGTTCTCCTCGGCAACATATGCTAATCCTGTGTAGCTTCTGGCATCTCTGTTTCTAAATTTCGATGTCCGATTGACCCATGAATCTTTCGACTGGAATAAAATGAAGGTGTACACATTGTGGCAAAAAAAGCCTCTTTTATGCGAATTGTTGTCTGCGAAGACCAAATACTAGATTAAAAATTAGATGTTGCTCCGCTCAGCCTTTGGTTTATACTGATGCTAAATAAGGTGTATCACCCATCAGTGACACAGAAGCTGCTGAGTGACAAGATCAGGACCCAAGGACTGTTGGCGTGGGGAAAGGCTTAGAAGAGCTATCAGCTTTGACTCTGATAATAAACTTCCAATAACAGTTTTCTTCTACGCTACAATCACTCGATCTGGGATTTACTGCTGGATGGATTTGTACCTACGTTACAGCTAGACCCGTTAGAATTAGACTTTTTATTGTGATCTTCTTCTCAACTCTGATGAAGGATGGCAGATTTAAGGTCGAACATCATCCAGACGTAGCCCTTCACGCTTCTCGTCAAAGCTTGAGCATGCACCAGTCAAGATCTCGTCTACCAGTCTACATGGATGACTGGCACAGGTAGCCCCAGAAATATTATACTTTGGCCACCTTGGGGAACGAAAGGTACGCAGAGCAGTCCTTGTATCTGAAATCCCGTAGCCTATACATGTATGGTCCGACAAAAGCTCCAGTAAATCATGAGAGTACATTTGCTTCGTTAAATGTCCCAGCAGTATCGCAGAACATTTATAATTGCAGCCGACTGTGCCATTCCGTAACGAGTCAAGAAGATTTTGAAGCTGAGCAGCGACCGGACGTATCTGTTGAATCCTCTGAGTTTCGATTGTGTCTGTGACTGTCAGAACCCATGTTGGATCGTTTGGCGCAGAATGAAAACATACCGGTGAGGAATTGAGGGATGGGCAGCTCGAGCGTGGGAACAGGGCCTTTGCTATCAAGAATGGCTGTTCTCGTGACTTGGTTGAAGATGTTCTCTTTTGAGAAAACCCAAGACACCAGTATCCACAAAACTAGCTCACGGCTGCATTGGGTGAGAAGGTCGTTTTTGATGCCGTCGATCCACATGTCTCCATACAGTTGAACTGCTTCGTGGCAATCATAGTAGTCGACCAAGGTTGCTATCTTGGCCAACATTTCGAGGTCCACAGAACGTGGAACATGACTGTGCTTTCCGTGTATGATTTGAAAAAGTATCAGTAGAGCATCGACATCCCACTCCGTTGTCTCAATGTGTCGCACCCGCTCAACGGGATCTTTAAGAGATTCTTTCCAAGGGCCTGAAAGTTTCTTGTTGAAGATGGACGAGGCTAACATGAGATGTCGAGAGGAAAGAAGGAACCTGCACGGAAGCGGCTTGCCAAAACCGTCCATGTCGAAAGGGTTGTCGATGTTCAGCAGCTCCGGCGGGAAAATTGACACTTGCTTCGCATCGTCGAACCAGTCAAGATAATACGACGAGTATTTTGCTATGATCGGAAGCTTTTGATCGCTGTAGTATAATCAGTCATCAGAGCATCCTAGCATTTCAAATACAAATAGCATACCATGCGTTCAGGTGCTGCACAACAGCATCTTCAGATTCGTCCCACACTGCGAAAGGCGCATTGGGGTTACGTAGAATGAGCTCGACATCGCCGTCGGGATCAAGTTGATGCACGTCTTCGCAATGCATGCCGAGCAATCAGTCTATTCACAGGCATAGATTTGTTACAATCAAGAATCATCTGAATGGAGACAAAGTGGCAATATCTGTTGACATGGATGAGCTTTTCACATACCTACCAGGTAAGCCAGGCAGCGTTAGCGGGGATGAACTGCGGGCATGTGCTCAGCCTCAGGTGCCTGAGCACTTCGGTGACAGAGTAAGCGAACGATGTTTGAGCGCACCTTTTTGTCCTTACTATTTTACTACGCCCAACTTGAGAAAAACGATATTTATTAAAATTGAATTGTTATCCAGAGAGTGAGGTATTTCCTGAATACTCTTTGAAACTTTTCTTACCCCTCGTTAGGGAGGTGTAAGTGTTGAAGTTAGGCGTAGCTCAGGAAGCGGTCCTTTTTTTGGTCACCCGAGTGCTGAGATACATCACGAGGCAGTGTTGTTAGCGTTGACCCCCTTACTATTAACCCTGCTGATTACCAGGCAACCAAGGCACCCTGCATTGGCTTTGTGGATGCTCAAAGAGAGTCATTACCACATCACATAATTTGCCATCTGCAGGCAACAGCACTATGGGTAGTGTTTGAAATCCGCATGCTTTCCTATGGGAAAACAGCGCCTAGACTAGTTTTTGGATCACAGGTAAAACCATATTCTGACATCAAGATTTCGACAGAGACTGATGAAGCTCTGCGACGCGAATGAGCTCGGGAGTCTCTAGACTTTTGCTTCGCGAAATTCAAGTCAAAAGAAGGAGCTGGAGCTAGAGGGAAACAATGTTATTTTCTTCATCTTTGTGTGCTTTTTTTCTCCTCTTTCCCTTGCTGATAACCGTGGAAGACAAGGTTCCGGCGGTCATACCACGTCAATTCTAACCGTTGTTCCGCTATGCAACCAATGGCTTCTCCGACATATTGGAGCTACGTTGAGGATGAAATATCGATGTACGAATATTGAAGATGGGGGAGAATGATCCAATAATCATCGCTGATTATGCTACGAATGAACAGATAAGTTTTCCGAGGCAGACTCAACCAGGCGCAATCTTGCTCCGCGGAGCTTGAATTGGTTCACCACGGGCAACTGGTGCCCGGCCCCGCAATGCCCCGCTTCCCGCGGTAAACCAATCGAGACTTTGAACTCTTATCACGAGAATAAATACTCAACGTCGAAGAAGGCTTGATTTATCCCGTGCACTCATTGAGACACTTTGGGCCTTCTCATAGAACATTACAGCATCGATACCACTCCCCTCGTCATGGCTTCCGAAAGCACTGCGGCCTTCTGGGCCAAGACCGACAAGTATTTGATGTCTACCGGCGTCCCATACTCACCCATCATCATCACCAAAGCCAAGGGAACCAAGTTGTACGACGCGGAGGGTCGCCAAATTTTGGACTTCACATCCGGCCAAATGAGCTCGCTTTTGGGCCACTCCCATCCTGAAATCGTCGAAGTCGTCCAGAAGTATGTCGCTGAGCTGGACCACCTGCTCAGCAACATGATCACACAGCCGGTCGCTGATCTCGCTGAGAGACTCGGCAAGCTTCTTCCTGCGCCTCTTAAGAAGGTTCGTCGGCTCATCCTTCATATTTGTGATAGTCGCTGACTCAGGCCGCAGTCTTTTTTCCTCAACACCGGATCGGAGACAACGGAGGCCGCGATCAAGATGGCCAAGCTCCACACCGGCAAGTTCGAAATCGTCGCCATGTCCGCCAGCTACCACGGTCTCACATCCGGCTCCGGCTCCGCAACCTACTCCGCCGGCCGCAAGAACGGCGGCCCCGCCATGCCCGGCCAACTCGCCTTCCCCGCACCCTACGCCTACCGCTCCATCTTTCGCAAGCCGGACGGGTCTTATGATTGGGAGACAGAGATGGACTTTGGTTGGTCAATGATTGACAGGCAAAGCGTCGGATCCTTGGCTGCGTTCATCATGGAACCTATTCTCTCCACCGGCGGCATCCTCGATCTTCCCAAGGGCTACTTGAGGCGCCTGCGCGACGAGTGCCACAAGCGCGGCATGCTTTTCATCCTTGATGAGGCGCAGACTGGTGTCGGACGTACAGGCCAGATGTTTGCCTTTGAGCACGACGATGCAGTCCCCGATATTCTCTGCCTGTCCAAGACTCTAGGTTGCGGTCTTCCCCTCGCATCCGTCAGCACCACAGCGGACGTCGCGCAAGGGTGCAAGAACGCGAATTTCCTGTGGCTTACGACGCATCTCAACGACCCCCTGACCGCTGCTGTCGGTAACAAGGTTCTTGAGATTGTCGTGCGCGACAACATCTGTCAGAAGGCCACTGAGCGAGGTGCGCAGCTGCGCGCGGGTCTGTTGAAGCTTCAGGAGAAGTACTGGTGCATTGGCGATGTCCGCGGTCGCGGTCTCTTGCAGGGCATTGAGATCATCTCAGACGCGAAGACAAAGGCTCCTGGGTCGGAATTGGGGCAGGCTGTCTCTGACAGAGCCATGGAGCTGGGTCTGTCATGCAACATTGTCAACTTGCCTGGTATGGGTGGCGTGTTCCGACTGGCACCCCCTGTGACTGTTTCACCCGAGGACATTGATGAGGGTCTGAGGATATTGGACGAGGCGTTTGGATACGTTTTGAGCCAGCGTGCGTAGTGAATTACCGAGAGTTTTTCGTGAAGCTCCTCAGCCGGATAGAATCAACTCACCACAATACCAATAATCAAAATTTTAAGACGGCGTCAATAGTTACTCTAAGTGGTAGTCAAGACTTAACATTGGTGTACTCATGGACGGGTTGAACGCACGAATTGTGAAGACTGCGTCCATGACCGCGCTGTCAACTATGTCTTCCGAGTCAGTCATTTGATCATACTATAGGGAAAACCCATGAATTTGGATGTTCTCTATCTACTACAGACAGAGAAAGGAACCGATACAATCTTCAGCCCAGGGTAGATTACATCCACGCCGCTTGGTCGGCCATGGAGACCATCTGGTCGCTTGAAGTGGGCCCAACGCCTCGTAGGGCTTGCAACCCTAGCAATGGTCCATATGCTCAATTACGACCTTGTATTTCAACAACAACCAGCGGCGGACATAGCTCAGTTGGGAGAGCGTCAGACTGAAGTTCACTTCATTCACTTAATCTGAAGGTCGTGTGTTCAATCCACACTGGCCGCATGGTACTTTTTTGGCATATTTTTGTTGCTTGTCAAACATCTCTATCTATCAACGGCTCCCTTTGCCATGTTCTCACAGTCCCGATCATACCTGTTTAAGCAGGTACCTGAATGAGCATGTTATGCTTCTTCCTTTCTTTCCTATGTTCTAGTTGTATTGAATGTACTGGCCAGCTGCACTACGCCTTGCCCCCGCTGCCACAAATATCGATCCACTTTTCAGTCTCCTTTTGCAATATCTCTATGCCGTCCTCAATCAGTTGCATAAACGGCTTGTTTACGTTCTGCTTGAGATGGACGTTCCAGGCCTCTAGTAGCAACTTGTTCACGTTCAGCTTGATCGCGCCGTTTTCGATGCAGCGCTTCATGATTTCAGGAGAGAAGTCGTTCGTTCCGTGCAGTGCCATCAACACGCGGTTGTCGATTTGCTTGTTGACCTTGGCAAGTCTTTCATAATCCAGCTGGGGACCTTTAGGACCGTAGTCGCCGTGGATATTGCCGATGCTGGGGGCCAAAAGGTCGATCTCGGCATTGATGAAGTCCTCCACCTCCTCAGGGCTGGTGAAAAGAGCTACATGAACCGATCAGCTAGGTGTTTCTGTTGAATCTTTTTGAACTGTGCGTCTTACCCTCCAGGTCACCGGTGTCCGCAATACCATCCTCGCCGCCGTTGATGCGTCCACTCTCGGCCTCAACCGCGATGCCGTGGTCGTGGCAGACGCGGGTGAGAACCTTGGTCTTGGCCAAATTTTCTTCGTGATCGTAGTGACTCATGTCCACCATGATGGAGTCGAACGGCAAGTTGCCGGCAATTTCTCTGATCTGGTTCTCATCCTGGGCGTGGTCGAGGTGCAATGCGATCGGTACGCTGGATGACTTGATGGCTGCCGCTACGGCCCAAGCGAGAGTGGGGAGCTGCGTCACAGCCGAGGGGAATAGCAGAATCAGGATGGGCGATTTCTTTGCCTCGGCCGCTTTAACTACAGCAGTAAGCTGCTCGATGTTGTAGCTTGGCTACAGTTAGACATTTTCAAGCTCTCATTCCCTAGGCAACGACGGGAAGCTTACATGACAACACCGAGAACGCCATATTGCCCCTTCGTAGCAGCGTCGAGAATCTGTAGAGTGCGGTTTTGTGACTTTTTCTCGGACCAGGAAGCCATTTTCAAGATATTCGTGGATTGGATGTTGAGCTGCAATGCTACTATAGTCGTGTGCTATCTTAGGCAAGGGGATATGAGCCTCTTATGTTTGAGCTTTTGTCATCGATGAGCTCCTCGCGTTTGCGAACTGCCCCGCGTCTCGAAGGACCCCGCGTCCGGCTTTCAGGCCGACCCCGTCACAGTGGGGTGAAAGATACGTACCTCTCTCGCATCGAGGTCGGCCCTCACAATCCGAGCCTTTTCACCGACTCCTCGATGCGAAGACACCGGAAGACTCTCAACACACACTCAAGGTCAATTCTTGAAAATCTTAGTCTGGTTATTTTAATACTCATATCAACCTCTCATTGATCTTGGCCTCGGGTCTCCATCATTGTCTTTCTGTCATGAAATACAATTTCCCACGTCATCGGCATTCTCGCCGATCATGTTCGGAGTTCCGGGGGAGCACGCCGAAAGGCCCAGGTTACAGTGGATGGTCGTGCCGAGAAACCAGCCAAACTTACAGCTGATCACGCGTGTTAATTGCTCTTTGAACAAGACTGTATTACCGTACTCCGCCAGTTCCTGTCTGGATTATTTACTACATTACAGTTGTGGTAATATGTGATGGCGACTCGACGCCTTTAAAAGAACAATTTCTGATTGATACCCACCTCCCTCTGACTACGTTGTGGAGTCCTCCATCCATAGGCT